CCCCAACAAAAAAAAATCCTTCTGATTTAAATGAAGAGAGAAGATACAAAATCTGGTAAACAGCTCTTCAATACTATTTAAAAAGCAAGCTGATTCTTCATGATTATTGAGGATCCACACAATCAGCCCGGCAATAGTTTAACAAACAAAAAAACAAAGTAAACGTTTAACTTCGAGTTCCATCATTAGAGTGCTACGTCATCGATTTAGGGAAACAGAGGGAAAGCACTGAGGACACAATGGCCTGTTGGGTTTAGCTTGGGACTTAAAACTCACGACCTTACGTGCAGTTTGTTCGTCTCTTTTCCCACTATATTATCACCTTACTCGTTGAAACCTACAACAAAATATTCGTTAAAGCTAACGTCTTTATTTCCAGCGGTATATCTCCCCGCGAGCTTACGCTTTACTTGTTGAACCTACCACAGGTATATAATATACATGCATAAGCTAAACCAAAGACCTTATCTATATTCGTGCATCCCCTCTAAGATGACGCCTTGCCCTTTGGACATACCACAAGATAATAAGAAATTAAAACATAATAAGTGCTATTTAGTCTTTGCTTACTGTAAATCCATTGTATGCAATGCTGTGCAGTTCAACTGATGTCCATGGTACCCTTTACCGCAAAACACGTGCATTTAGTTTTCAAGTGAAAAAGTAAATGATATAATATAATTTTATAGTTATTGAATCCTGTCGTATTTTTTCTGAGATGTAGTATTCTACTCTGCCTTAGCTGGCCTCGATAAGCAATGTCGTAGCAACCCGACTCAAAATTCACCTGAATTGCGTCGATGGGGGCGTTAAACATTTACGACGATGTCCATACTGTTGCGTGTAAATAATGATATCATATTCCACATGGGAAATTGTTATAAGTACAAACGCGAACTTCAAAGAGCTGTTATCAATTTGGGGAATTTCCCGTGCGGCTCTGATCTTTATTATCCCATTCTCCCATAACCCAGGGTGGGATCAATGTTTTATTCCATATTGATGCATATTCCTCCTTTGTCCGAACCTGCATGACGTCTCACTGCCCTTATTTTGAACCCGCCAAATCGCACTTAGGGGGAAAGTAAAATGTAACCTTCCATACCGCCATCCTCCTCAAACCGTGTCTTCGCGCATCATGACATTCACTGCCCCATATGTGATCTATTCGTGTTGTAATTGCCGCAAAACTCTAACTAAAACTAAACGACCAGACGATCAGAGCCCCATATATATATATATA